TACTGTAATTACTACACAGCAGAACAATCAAAGGCAATCAGAGCCAACAACAACATAACTATCTTTAACTACAATATCAGATCTTTAAGCAAGCATTATGATGACCTCCTAGCATTACTAAATTCCTTGCATGCCAATATGTCCATCATTACACTAACTGAAACCTGGCTAAAGCCTGATACTACAGATGTCTATGCCATTCCTGGTTACACAGCCATACACAACTGTAGGCCAGACCAACAAGGGGGTGGCACTGCTATATACTACTCAGACCAACTAGAATGTATCACTAATACTTGCACAAGGGATGAACATGGGGAATATATAATAGCTAAATTCAAATCCAAATACCTACAGAAACCTCTCACAGTGATAAACATCTACAGAGTTCCACAATCAAACATTAGCCAATTTAGTCAAAAACCTAGGAAGTATGATAACTGATGCACGCATGAACAAAGATCACTTACTACTCTCAGGTGACTTCAATATAAATCTCCTGCAAGACCAGGACCCACACGTTACTGAATTCACAAACACAATGAGTAACTGCATGTTGCTACCAACAGTAACAAAACCTACAAGAGTTACAGAGACTAATGTTTCCCTACTTGACCACATCTGGACCAACACCATATCCCCTTTAAAATCAGGCATAATTACAGATAATACCACAGACCACTACCCTACTTCCTCATAACAACTCTTGGTAAAATACCCCAAGACACTACTAAAGTCACCTTCAGACTTCACAATGAGGCAGCCATTAATAACTTCACAACAGCAGTAACAAACATTGACTGGCACACTGAGCTAGAAATCTATACAGATATTGACGAATGTTTTAATAATTTTCTAAAAAAGACCCAATACCTTTATAACAAGCACTGCCCTAAAAAAACTAAACAGATGACAGCTAAGAGACTGAACAGTCCCTGGCTAACACCCAGCATTCTCAAATCCATAAATACAAAACACCGATATGAAAAACAGTACAGAATGGATCACATAACCAGAGACCAAACAAAAACGTTACTCGTCAATCCTAACCAGCCTGATAAGAAGGGCAAAAAAATTGTATTATGAGAACAGATTATCCAACTTACGGAGGTGATATAAAAAAGACCTGGAAGACCCTATCAGAAATTCTGGAACAAAAAAGATATCACGACATAGCGAAATAAAATTAGCAAAATCAGATGAACCCCAACTCCCACCAACAGAAACAGCAAACAGACTCAATGATTTCTTCTCCACTATAGGTCAAACCTTGCCAATAAAATCCCAAGCTCAGATACCCCACCAAATGACTACCTCACTGGCAACTACCTGAACACACTGTTCCTAGCTCCGACTGACCCATACGAAGTCTCCCTTATTATCAACGCACTGAAAACAAGGCAGAGATTTAAATACCTTACCACCCTTTTTATACAAAAAAGCGTCACAAGTACTATCACCAATCATTGCAACACTCTTTAACAAATCCATTGAATCCTCCACCTTCCCTACAGTTACTCAAAATAGCAAGGGTCACCCCGATCCATAAAGGAGGAGACCAAACAGAGTTGAATAACTATAGGCCAATATCCAATTTACACCCTCTCTCAAAAATCTTCGAAAAATTAATTCATAAACGAATCTACTCCTACCTCATCTCCCAAAACATTCTCAACCCCTGCCAATTTGGATTCAGGCCTAATAAAAATACTAATGATGCTATTATACCATGCTAGAACATATATACACTGCACTAGAGAAAAAAGAAGTCCCACTGGGGATCTTCATTGACTTCCGTAAAGCTTTTGATACAGTTGACCATGACTTGCTCCACGTAAAATTGTCACACTAATGGTATTAGAGGGCACTCCCTCAACTACCTCAAGTCTTACCTCAGCAACAGAAGCCAATATGTGTACGCAAATGGGGCAAGCTCTTCCGCACAACCAATTACAGTTGGTGTCCCACAGGGAAGTGTCCTTGGCCCTCTTCTCTTTCTCCTATACATAAATGACCTACCAAATGCTTCGCAATTACTCAAACCCACACTTTTTGCAGATGACACTACATACGTCTTCTCTCACCCAAGCCCAGTCACGACTAGCCAATACTGTAAACACCGAATTACAGAAAAATATCTACCTGGATGAGGACTAACAAACTTACACTAAACATTGACAAAACCTACTTCATTCAGTTTGGTAACAGAGCTACAGATGTACCTCTTAACATAACGATAAATGGATCACCTATCACAAAGCTAACAGAGGGAAAATTCTTAGTAATCCACCTCGATAATAGACTCAAATTTCATACACATGTACAACAAATTTCTAAGAAAATTTCCAAGACTGTAGGCATACTATCGAAGATACGGTACTGTGTTCCACAGTCAGCCCTCCTGGCCCTTTATCACTCCTTATTTACCCCTGTCTCACCTATGGAATTTGGCATGGGGCTCAACAACAATTATCATCTCAGACCACTAATTACCCAACAAAAGGCTGCAGTTAGAATGATAACAAATTCTCACTACAGGCAACACACTCCACCAATATTCAAACACTCAACCTACTCACCATACAAAACACCATACTTATTATGCACCTATTACATACATAGAACACTTAACTCTGATATAACCCTCCCTCAAACATCTCCTTGCCAACCTCAACAGAACACATGACCATACACAAGGCACAGATCACTCATTGATGTTCCTCGTGTCCATCTCACGCTATGCAAAAACTCAATGCACATAAAAGGCCCTAAAATCTGGAATTCATTACCTGTAAATATAAAAGAAACACTACCTGTTTACAAATTCAAGTCTCTTCTCAAAGTTCACTTACTCACTCAAAACCAAATAAATACTGAATAACTGAACCTTATAAATTGTATATCCAAAATGTTACTCACAATTATATCACATAAATGTTAAACCTAGGACCCAATCTAACTTTGTTATTTTTTTAAATACACTACCTAACAGAATACTCCATTCTGAATGAACAGCAATGCATGCAACCATATGACCTGTCTTTGTAATACTCATTTGTGCTTTATAGTTATCTGTTTACAATAATGTTTTATCACTGATTTCATCATTGCTTAGTTAATTTTAAGCCAGCCCATAATGCTATGCATATAAGTGGCTTTGGCATGCTGCTCTTACCTGTATTTTTTTTTGTACCTCTGTATGTATGCTAAAATTTCTAAATAAATAAATAAATGGTAAATTTGGGCCTACATATGAGAGAATAGGTTTGTGTGGTAAGTGTGCACTATATAAAAAAATCCTGCAGCACACAGTGCATGAAAAAAAACTGAGACCGTGTTTTTGGTATAATACGGTGAATTTGAGGTGTATTTTTGTATTTTTTTGTTTTTTTGTTGTATTCTCGTTGTTTTGGTCTCATTTGATAGAATGGAAGATATATTACAGAAATAGATGTGATTTTGATTGGTTTCATGATGGAAAGTACCTTGAAATTGAGCTCAAAGTAACAGAAATGTTCGATTTTTGCTGATGTTCAAGAGTAAACAAATGATATCACCATCCAATACGTGTCCAACTGGCCAGTCTAATATGCAGTCACAAATGGCTTGACATTATTTATACAGTTATTACAATAATGCAGTAGTCCGCATAACAGTAAATCTTCTATTTTTTGTGTGAATAAAAATTCAAAATGGAAAGCAAGTGTAATATAAGAGGGGCCTGGAGAAATGACTAATAAACAAAGAAAATGTTATTTTAGTTCCAGGAATGTCTGCATTGTTTATTCTGGACCCTATTTTGAAATTGGCATCTCTTGAAATTTGTGTGAAATTGGACAAATCACCAATTTCTGACCACTTTATTGGGCAGTTGAAATAATTAAATGGGCAGTTTCTTGTACTCAATCGTCAGAATATAAGGAATACTAGCAAAATAGCTATGACTTTGGTAGACCGGAACAATGGAATGGGCCAAAAATTCAAAGTTTATTCTCTATAAGGATTACAATGCTGAGTTTACAGAAATTTGGTTATTGTGTGGTTTACATGTAGTAAAATTGTGATTACAGAGTGTACCACTAGAACGCTTAGCATGGCTAGGCATTTCGGGCATACTTAGTTTTATTCTTAATTGTAAAATATTACAAATTATGAGGTAAGTTGGTATTATGGCTAAGTGACTAAATACTAGTTTGTGAGTTTAGCAATGTGAATGCTTTTGTTTTGGCACAGTACATAGTTTCAGTATTGGAGTATCACAGGATTCATTATTTTAAGATTGAGATTAATATTTCTGTTTATGGTCAAATGAGTGAGTGAGTGTAAGTGTGAACCACCAGGTGGTATTCGTGTAGTTAGTTGACGGGGTGTATCAGGGAGATAAGATGTTTTCTAATGGTAGGGCGTAAATTGGGTGAAATCGCCAATGTGTAAATATCACCATTGGCTTAAGTGAATTCTAACCTAACCACTTTGTAATCCAGCCAAATTACTAATCCTGCATGCTACAGTTCCCAATGATGCCGGATTAGTGATGGTTAACCTGTATTATGAAATTGTAATAAATTTGGAATGCATAAGGCATCTTCCTAGCTGTTACAAGCCCTGTTTGCTGGTAGGGAAGCTGGTAGTGGTATAACAGGTTCTGGTTTCATTGTTTACTGATGTACTGTGTGGACCTCCCTGGTCTTAAAATTTTTTCAAATGCATGAGGAAGTTCTAAAAAAGCTAAGCAACTGAGCTGAGTCCAAAAACATTGGCAGGTAGTGTATTTGAAGACATGAAAAATTTGTGCACAAGCATGTCAGATACGTTTTGGTCCCCAGTGTACTAGTGCATTGAATACAGTTAAAGTGTTAATTTGTTTTATATATTAGGGTGTTTTTTTCTATGTTATATACATGGACTAGTTATAGTAAATTAAACTTATTTGAGAGAACAGATATGCCTATTCAGTATCTAAGATAATTTTGTGGCAATATATAATTTTGTATTGAAAGCTTCAGCGGGGGTGAACCAAGCAAGAGGCGAATGTTAGAAGACTCAGAGGAGGCTGATTTGTCTAAAAAGAAGAAGAAAAAGATTTTGAGAAACCCGAGAAAGTCATTTGAGCCTCCAAGTGACCCATATGAGAAGTGTGTATGCAGAAACCCCAAGGTAAGCCCCTTCCATATTTTTTTTTAACATTCGCACAGTATGTGGACAACATATGGAATTACAAAATTTATACATCCCTGGACAACATAAGTTTAGAGCAGGATGGTCATGTCCCTGACAGCTGTTAGGCCACTGATATTTCTTTTGACACTTTGAAAGACACAAAATGATAAAATACACAGGCTTCCAGTACAAATAACTAAAAAATGTAGGCAACAGTATATGAATCTTACACTTTCTAATAAACCAGCCTCAGTGAGTATTAACCAACATGAAAAGCTCTATCTCATGATGTACTTGTCCAGGTGCTCTATCATTCTCTTATTTGACAAATGCAAATCATAGAGCAGTATCATCCATCTTAGGCAGTATTAATTTTGATGAATTAATAATATCTTTATGTACTTAATCTGATGAACCACCTCTCTGAAATCATAGCCCTACCACTTTTTGCTTTGTTTGGCCTCCTCTTGCCTCCCATCCTCTAATGAATTTCTGCTTTGTGCTGAATTGCTATTGTCTGAATGATTAGAGTCATGGAAGGTGGCATGGGAGGTGGTAGTCTTCAATGTTCATTGAACTAAAGTTCATCCTCTATAGAGAAATGTTTTTGAGTCTTTAAAATCCAGTATTCTGTACTTTTGTTCTGATGAGCCACTTTATGAATTATTGGTTAACATACCTACCGTGCTCGTTGTTAAAGTATGCCGGGTGCGTCCACCCAGCATATTTTAATGTCTGAAATAATGCCTGACTCTGTTAGGTGTTTTGGAGTGACAGAAATTTATGTTGGCCTGTCATCACAGTGTGATATATCAGGATTCGTCTAGGCTACTCTCTGCATGTTCAGTACTTTCTGGCTTTGTGTGGCAGACAGATATGTATCTGCGGCCTTCCTGTGTCATGTGGTCTTGAGTACTGAGTTTGACAGAAATTTTTGGTTATTTACGAATTAATATGAGCAATAATAAGTCTTTGACATAAAAGACAATTGCATAGATCATTGGATTACATAAGCAGGCCATCAGACAAGGAAATACTTTAAGGCATTGGTATGTGCGAGCATTCAACGAGGTTCTGGTTGCATTGGTTCCACGATGGCTCTGGCAATGATATGCCCACACCAAACTCACATTCATGGAAGCCTAGAAAAACATCCTTGTGTACTTTAGCTGTAATAAAGAGACACCTAGAGACCAAGCCAAGAGTGACTGCATAGGGGATTAAAAACAAGAATCCAGAACTGCTTCATATGTCTCTTAGAACTGTTAATAAACATGTGAAGGAGCTTTGCTGCAGCAGTCATCGGCCTGTCCAGAAACCAATATTGAGCCAAATGCAGAGAAAGTGTAGAGCTGTGTTTGCAAAGCGATAACAGACATGGACCAAAAAAAAGAGGAGTAATGAATCTTTTCACAGGTATCTGTTAGTGTGGTAGGAATGTTTGCAGACTCCCAGGTAGTGACCCCTTGGATCTGCACTTCACATGGTACCACAAAAATCTCTGAATCTGTAATGGCTTAGGCTTAATTTAGTGCTAAAAGTTTTAGTGAGTTACTTATGTTGCCCAAGAGCCAATGAATGAACTAGTACACCTACGTAGAACTGCTTTATGATCATTTGCCCAAATCTTTCACTCTGTGGAACAAGACAGTGCTCCTTGACACACGGCTATATTAGTTATTCAATGAATTTATAACTATGAAGTACACTTAGGTAGTAGGTTGGTAGACAGCAACCGCCCAGGGAGGTACTACCGTCCTGCCAAGTGAGTGTAAAACGGAAGCCTGTAATTGTTTTACATGATGGTAGGATTGCTGGTGTCCATTTTTCTGTCTCATAAACATGCAAGATTTCAGATATGTCTTGCTACTTCTACTTACACTTAGGTCACACTACACATACATGTACAAGCATATATATACACACCCCTCTGGGTTTTCTAATATTTTCTTACTAGTTCTTGTTCTTGTTGTTTATTTTCTCTTACTTCCATGGGGAAGTGGAACAGAATTCTTCCTCCGTAAGCCATGCGTGTTGCAAGAGGCGACTAAAATGCCGGGAGCAAGGGGTTAGTAACCTCTTCTCCTGTATAAATTACTAAATTTAAAAAAGAGAAACTTTCGTTTTTCCTTTTGGGCCACCCCGCCTCGGTGGGATACGGCCGGTGTGTTGAAAGAAAGAAAGAAGTACACTTCTATGGTTACTGGCCAGGAAATTTCCCATGACTTGAACCTCACTGAGAACCTCTGGGCTGTGATAGAGATCTACAAGAGAAGGACATCTGCTCACTCCCATGGCTAGAAGTCACAATCCATGAGTTATAGGAGAATTTACCTCAAGAATCCCTCAAGAATTTATGTGAATTACTTCAGAGGCAATTGAAGGATGTCCTAATGTGCAAGAGATGACCTGCAAAATGTTAAATCATGGGTAAGTACACCACAATGTTTTTATTTCTCTATTTTGTGATCATAGTTTGAAAGGGGAGGCTGGCATACTTTAACGACGAGCACTGTTTGTGATTTCCATGCTGGTTTCCCACAAATAATGCATCATTGATTCCAGGAATAGAATTGCCCAAGTGTTTTATCCTTCTTAAATCCTCCTTGTTTCTCTGCAGTCCTACTTGTTGTTGTTGTTGTACTCTTAATTTTTTCAGTTGTAACTCTACCATATTCTTTATCCAGTATACTTAACAGACTTACCCCTTTTATTCTTATGCTTACTTTTATCCCTTGTATACAAAGGAACTATTCTTGCTCTCTGCCAGTCCTTAGGTACCTTCCTTTCTTTCAAGCATATATTGAACAAATACACCACCCACTCATCACTATCTACACCTGATTTTAACATTTCTATATTAATCCCATCTATTCCTACTGTTTTACCCCTTACATTCTACCCACTGCCTCATACACTTTCCCTACACTCACATCTGGCTCTTCCTAATTTTTACAAGAATTTCAGTAAGGCTTTTGATAGAGTACCACATCAGAGACTGTTAAAGAAAGTGGCAGCTCATGGCAGTGAGGGACAAGTGCTGTCATGGAGCAAGTCAGGGCTCACCAATAGGAAGAAGAGAGTGTGCATAAATGAGTACATGAAATTACTGCCCACCTTTCTTCATCAACATTTAATAATGAGGTTCCTTGAAGATGATGAGCAGCTTTTGATCCAAGGAAACAGAACTGCTCTTCTCTTCCTTGGATCAAATCTGAATGCCTCCCATTCCCTAGGTGCTGTATAACTCTTACACGTCTAGTGCTTCCCTCCTAAATATAATACAGTGGAACCTCAAATATCGAACTTAATCCATTCCAGGAGCTTGTTCTAAATTTGAAAAGTCTGAAAAGCGAAGCAATATTTCCCATAAGGAATAATGGAAATACAATTACTCCGTTCCAGAAACCCAAAAATATTGACAAAAAAATACATTTTATAGAGACTAATTACAGTTTTACATACACACAACAAATACTATAGTGTTCAATTATGTATATAAATATAAAATAACAATTTTACTTACCTTTATTGAAGATTGGTGATGGCATCTGGAAGATAGGGAGGAGGAGAGAGGGAGTTGGGGTTAGTGTTTGGAAGGAGAATCCCCCTCCATGAGGACTTCAGGTAAAGCCCTCTCTGGGGTTACTTCCCTTCTCTGTCTTTTAACCCTTTGACTGTTTTGGTCGTTTATATACGTCTTACGAGGTACCATGTTTGACGTATATATACTCATAAATTCTAGCGGCTTCAAATCAAGCGGGAGAAAGCTGGTAGGCCCACATGTGAGAGAATGGGTCTGTGTGGTCAGTGTGCACCATATAAAAAAGATCCTGGAGCACGCAGTGCATAATGAGAAAAAAAAACTCTGACCGTTTTTTTAATTAAAATGCCGACTTTGTGGTCTATTTTTGAATAGTATTTATGGTTGTATTCTCGTTTTCTTGGTCTCAATTGATAGAATGGAAAACATATTATAGAAATAGAGGTGATTTTGGTTGGTTTTACTATAAAAAGAACCTGGAAATGGAGCTCAAAGTAGGGGAAATGTTTGGTTTTTGCCGATGTTCAAAAGTAAACAAATGATGTCATTGTCCAATAAATGTCCAACTAGTCATTCTAACATGCAGTCTTGAATGGGTTGACATTATTTGTACAACTATAACAATATTGCAGTAGACTGCATAACAGTAACTCTTCTATTTTTTTTTTTTTGAATAAAAATTCAAAATAGAAAGCAAAAGTAATATCAGAGGGGCCTGGAGATGTGACTGATGAACAAAGAAAATGTTATTTTAGAGCCTGGAATGTCTGCATTGTTCATTCTGGACCTTATTTTGAAATTGTCATATTTTATAATTTTCTTGAAATTGGCCAAATTGCAAATTTCTGACCACATTCTTGGGTAGTTGAAATCGGTAAATGGGCAGTTTCTTGTACTCAAGTGATAGAAAAATGGAGTTCTAAAGAAATAGCTATGAGTTTGGTCGACTGGAACAATGGAATTAGCCAAAAATAGGGCTCGAAGTGGGTGAAATCGCCAATTTGTAAATATCGCCGAGGTCGCTAACTTCGCGAGAGTGCAATTCCGTCAGTTTTCCTTCAAATTTCTTTTTTTTTGGTGTCATTACAATCGGGAAAAGATTCTCTACCATTTCATAAGAAAAAATCATATTTTTTTTTTTTTTTTTTTTAAATTTTGCGACACCAGGAGACACCTCAGGATTGGGGGTTGCGACAGTCAAGGGGTTAATGCCGCTAGGATCAGCTTGAGAGTCACTGGACCCCTGTCTCACAAAATAACTGTCCACAGTCCTCTGTTTCTTGTGCCTGTTTAACATTTCCCTAAAATGGGAGATGGTTTTGTCACTGAACTTGTTGCAAAGATGGCTTGTTTCATCTTGCTCAGGGTGGTACAGTGGACCCCCGCATACCGTTGGCATCACATAACGTTTAATCCGCATACCGCTCGCTTTTATCGCAAAAATTTTGCCTCG